GTGGGGGTGCCTGGGTGGCTCAGTTGGTTGGGCGTCCAACTTCAGCTCAGGTCATGATCTCATGGCTTGTGAGTTCCAGCCCCGCGTCGGGCTCTGTGCTGACAGCTCAGAGCCTGGAGCCTCCTTTGGATTCTGTTTCTGTCTCCCTCTGCCCCCTCCCACTGGTTCTCTCTCTCAAATATAAATAAACATTAAAATTTTTTTAAATATATTTAAAAATATTTTTAAAAATACATCCCGTGAACCAACAGCTCCATCTCTAGAAATTTATTCTACAGAAATACATCTGTGAATAAAGATATAAAAATAAAGATGTTCAATAAAGTATTATTTGTAGTAATCAAACTAGAGACCACCAAATCATCTAATTAGAGAAGAATGATTATAGTCCATCCATTCAACAGAACATTCTGCATTAAGAGCATGAAGTAGACTGTGAAAGATGGCAAATTATAAAAGCAAGTCACAGAAGAATTACGTTGGGGAAAAAAAAATCCCTATTTAGTTGTTGTTTTAAAATATACAGAAAACAGGGGCACCTGGGGGGCTCAGTCAGTTAAGCATCCAACTCTTGATTTTGGCTCAGGTCATTATCTTGTAGTTTTGTGAGTTTGGGCCCCACATCAGGCTCTACGCTGACAGTGCAGAGCCTGCTTCCGATTCTTCCTCTCTCTCTGCCCCTCCCCCACTTGCACTGTCTCTCTCAAAGTAAATAAACAAGCAAATAAACAAATGGATAAATAAATAAATAAAATATACAGAAAATATTTACAAAGATCAGGAGGGGAAGAAAGGTAAAAGGAGAGTCTCAGTTTTATTTCTGTGTCTACATTTACCATTTGAATGTTTCATGACAATCGTGTACAGGTGCCCCTTGAACAACATGGAGGTTTGGGGCACTGACTCCCCAGCATGGCTGAAAATCTGTGAATAATTTCTAACCCCCCAAAACATAACTACAAATAGTCTGTTGATTGGAAGCTTTACTGATAACATAAACAGTCAATTAACACCTATTTTTTCTGTTACATGTATTCTATGCTGGTTTCTTACAATGAAGTATGCTAGAGAAAAGAACATGTTTTATTTTATTTTTGTTTCCAGTTTTTATTTAAATTCTAGTTAGTTAAGATTTAGTGTAATACTGGTTTCAGGAATTTAGTGAAGAAAATGTTTTAAAATCATAAGGAAGAGAAAGTACATTTACAGCATGGTACCGTATTTGTCTGGCTCAGTTTTGGCTCAGTTTGTGGCTCTTGATCTTGGGGTCAAGCCCCATGCTGGGCGTAGAGATTACTAAAAATAAATAAACTTAAAAAAATTCCATGTATAAATGGACTTGCACATTTCAAACCCATGTTGTTCAAGAGCCAACTGTATTATTTTTATAATTTAAAAAATAAAAGAATAAGTCGGAATTTCATAAGTCATTCAGCAATGTGTACACTTCCAGGATCTAGAATGTAGTATTCAGTTCCTTGATCCTACTGTCCAGGAGTTTATCATCCTCTGCCAACTACACTTCTAAGATGTAATGTGTGTGTGTGTGTGTGTGTGTGTGTGTGTGTGTGTGTGTGTGTGTGTGTGTGTGTGTGTGTGTGTGTGTGTGTGTGTGTGTGTGTATACATATGTATATCTTTTAATTTTTGTTGCCTCAAACAAATGAACACATCACCTTTGCTACCCACTCCCACCAAAGAGGTAGACAGGTCTATGAGAGAAGTGCCTGGTGAGAAGAGTCATTACAATATAGGACAGCAGACCAGGACCAGGAAAAAAATAAACAAAACAAAACAAACAAACAAAAAAACCAGAAGCAAAACACAACAGGATTCATCTGTGAAAAGGCACCATGAGACTCAGAAAACAAAACAAGGTAAGGACACAACGCAAGTCCACCAGCCTATCTGAAGCTCTCTAAAAAGAAGCACCGTTTGTATAACATAAAACTTGTGGGAGAATCTGCCCCAGCAGTGCTTCCTGAATACCTAAAGAAGTTGATACAGGATAGGGGCTACTGGAGCAGGTTTTTAAAGATAAAGACTGGTTTGTTTGGGAAATGGATACCCTCTAGAGAACAGAACTTTCATCTGTGTTTCAAAAATAGGCTTAATGCCATTTTCATTATTTCCCCCAACTCCCTCTTATCCCTGAGACTTTGATCTTAACAACTGCACAGTTTTGCTAACCACGGTACTTTTCAGGAACACAGCTCCCAAGGCTGGCAGAGGATTTGGGTCAGGGAGATATTATAAAACACTGTAATGTCAGAAAGATCCAGATTCAAATCCTAACTTCCATTTCAAGCTGCATTCCCATGGATAAGTTACCTACCGTGATCTCCGAGTAAAAGGGTACACTATAATGAATGGAGAGAACATACACAGCATCTAAGCAAAGTGCTTTGCGCACAGAACACCCTCATCAAATAGGAACTATGATTTTTACATTGTATGACCTCTGATCAGAGGGTGGGGCTGGGGGAGTGGGCAAGAGGACAGGGAGATGCATCTGAAATGTTCCTGTGATTTCACTGGGACTAGATGTTTGGCATTCTACTTTGCTAAAGATGAACTGATTCCATGAGCCCATGTAGAATATAAGTGCATTTCACAGAACACAGCAAAGTTAGGATTTATATTGTAAGCTATTTTTAAAACTGCCTGGTTAGCAAATTAAACCAGCTGTGAAAATATCCTGGTTTCCATTCACAACAAATACAAGACAAACATTCTCCTTTAATGAACCTGGCCTCATGGCAGCATAATATATTCTGCATAATTCATTCCTAAGGGTTTCGGAGACATACTTTTCATAAGACAGATCAAAACTAAACTATTTTCTAGGAAGAAAAAAAAAGATGAGAGAGGAGTTTCTCCCTACAGATTTTCGGTAAATTCCATGAATCACTTGCTATCCCATTCAACTTAGGAGACTACTGTCTGAATAAAAAATAGTAGTCATGTCAGTATTTCAAGGCAGTCTTAACTGTTTTTCCTTTAAAAGGGCATATGAAACACCAGTCTTCTCTGCAACACAATTTTTCAAGTTCTGTGGCAGAGGGAGGAAAAAAAAAAATCTATTCCCGGTCACCAAAAAGCTACCCAAGGACTCCCAATTTCAGATTTAAAACTGATCACTCTTTAAGAAGTCAGGGGAGAGATCGTGAATAATTTAGAATGTTGGCTAAGTTATATTATTTATATTCCTGTTCCTTTCGGGAAACAATTTGTTATTTAAACAAAGAACAGAAGTATAAATAACTAAATAGAATAGAATTTCAGGAAGTACATTTCAAATAAATTCACACTTGGAATGCAGGGAAGACAGTCTATTAATTTAGCGTACTTCCTAAGGACATAGCTAAGAAAAGAATATACCATCTTAAACTTTCTTTGGAAATCAACCAGACTGAATTAGTTCAATTTGGAACATCCTGAGCCTTAAAGCCTTTGCTAAAGTGTAACACAAATTTTGATTAGTCAAGTGTGAAAATCTACAAAGCCAACTTTCTTGTCCCTCCAGTTAGTCTGTCTATAAATAGAAACTATGCATTAATAGCCACCAAAGCAACTGGTGAGCTCCACAATGTGCCCAACATATACATCCTCTGCAAACACGCTCTCAGCGTGTTTAACCAAAGTGCTTCTGAAGATCTGTAATAGGACCCTTTTTAAATAAACTGTGACTCACTGTTTGCTTTCTTCACCAGGAGGTGGAGTCTTGCCATGCCCTTCCATTACAAAATCCTCCTGTTCCACCTGCAAAGGCAAGCACCACAGGTCAGAAGTAGTCAGTAACTAAGATGCAACTCACTTAAAGTTCCAGGGACTGCCCCGTGCAGAACCACATGGCCCCTGTGCTATACTGTCTGGCACAGGAGCCTAGGCCAGTGGCTTTCAACTGCCAAATTTGCTCAAAGCATCTCTCCTTAGGTGCCTAGATTTGCAGAACAGAAAAGGAAACACTGTTGACTTGCAACTTACATAACTGTAACAAAAGTTAACATCCAGAATATAATAAAGAATTGCTAGGAATCAATTTAAAAAAAAAAGACAACATACCTGAAAGATTTACAAAATAACTGAGTAGGAATTTTACTGAAGAACATGCACAAATGAAAAGATACTCAGTTTCATGTCAACCAGGAAAATGCAAATTACTGCAAATTAATTTTGCCGCTACCAGGTTGGCTAAAATTCAAAAGTTGGGCAATACTGGGACACCTGGGTGGCTCAGTCGGTCAAGCTACCAACTCTGGTTCAGGTCATGATGTTGCAGTTCGTGGGTTCGAGCCCCAAGTCCGGCTCTGTGCTAATAGCTCGGAGCCTGGAGCCTGCTTCAGATTCTGAGTCTCCCTCTCTCTGCCCTTCCCTTGCTTGCTCTCTGTCTCTGTCTCTCTCTCTCAAAAATAAATAAAACATTAAAAAATTTGTTTTTAAAGCTGGGCAATACCAAGTGTTGGCAAGGGCACAGAGCAATAGCAACACTCATCCACTCCTGGTGGGAAGGAAAATTGATACAACTACTTTTCAAAAGTTTGCCACTATCTGGTACGCTTGACTATGTATTTACTGTACAAACTAGTGGTCGCACTTCTGGATAAATATTCTAGAGAAACTTTTACACACATATAAAATAGTATTTTTTTAGTATTTTTAATTTTAATAGTATTATTTTTAACAGAAAAAAAAAAAAAACCCAGAACAAATATCCATCAACAGTAAAATAAATATACACACTATGGTGTTTCCAGACAACAGAATAAACACTATTCTATATAAAAATGACTGACTATAGCTATACACTGCAACCTAGATGTGTTATAAAAACACAGTATTGGGTGAAAAAGCAAATCACAAAAGAATACACACACAGTATAATTCCATTATATAAGGTTCAAATATAACATTTTAAAACTGTATGTACGTATGAGTATATAGACATGTATGTATATACACAGTTTTTAAAAACTATTTTTAAAAAAGGAATGACATACCAAATTTAGGCTAGAGATTGTCTTAGGAAGGGAGAGAGGGGATTCAATAAGGAAGGGGCATGTGGAGGATCCTGGGGTGTGGTTATATTCTATTTCTTGGCCTATGTAGTGGGTAACTAGGTGTTTGTTTTGTAATTATTCTTTTAACTATGTTTCTTTCCTCCCTATGGTTTTCTTCTCAATACAAATTTCAAAGTGAAAAAAAAAAGAAAGCATTTTACCATTCCAGATGGCTTATTGACCTGGAAGATCAGTGACCGAGATAGAGCTACCTCCACAAAGGGGACTATTAGTCCCATGAAAACTCCCCCTGAAAGGCATAATTTTAAAAAATCAAACAGATGTACTCAAGGAAACAGACAGGGCTATTCCCAACTCAGAAAAATACAGTCTATTTCTTACAAAACCTAATAATCTGGAAGACAGACAACATACACCACGATGAAACCCAAAGAAAACAAAAGGTTTTCCAATTCTGTCATCTTCTCCACAGTCTCTATTTCCCAAGAATACTAGAGAAGACAGGACAGAGTTTAGAGGCTAAGTTTCAGAAAGGACAGGAAAATCAAGAGGTGTTCATAATTTCCATTAAAAACAGGAGGAGGCATAGGCAAGAGTAATTAAAGACACACACTGTGCATACTGTAAAATTCAAACCAGGTTCTGACTTGATTCTTAGGAAATTCCTGACTCTGCAACATACTGGACTTAGCCAAGGAGAGGGAGGATTCTCCCATCCTAAGGTTACATTTAGGACGTTAAAAACTCTAGAAATAAAAACAGGATTGCAGAGGGAAATTTATGAGGAGCTAGAGATGATCTGGTTGGGTTACAAGAGTGCATACCTATGTTTTAAAAAAAATCACAATGTACTTAACTATATAAATGTTATGCCTTAATTAGGAAAAACAGGTGACAAACTGTTTAAGTTTGTTAAGCTCCTTGGAACCTCAACCTTCAATCATTTGCTTAAAGACAAGAATGACTATTCTCACTTATATATATTATAGAAATTTCTTTGACCCTTCATCTTTAAGAATGCTGTCTAAAGAATTCTGAATTGTGCATCTTGGCCTCTGCTTAGTTTTTTTTTTTTTTTTAAAGGTTTATCCTACAATCAATTTCTAATTAAGTACAATCATCTAAGAGAAGTAATGATCAAAGAACCCACAGCTTCTACAATCTCTTCCACATGGGCTCCCAATCTTTAACCCCAGCCCCCATGTTATGCATACTAGTCCTCCACTTGGATGGCCCAGTAAGTTCCAAAATGAAATAATATCTTTGTCTTTAAACTTCCTCTCCTTTTTATATCCCCTATCTCTGCGAATGGTACCATCATTCACTAAACTCCCCAAACAGGAACCCGACACATGTATCCCCCCACTTTTTGAAAGTTCGTGTTATACAACTTCACTTTTACAAAAGGCCTATTTTCACTAACCAAAAAAAAAACCAAAAAAACAAAAAAAACCTGAAGAGGATTTTTGCTTTTATAAAAAAAGAGGTAAAAAGCCAAACAGCGTTCAGCGTTGGTTTTGCAGCCAGCCCGCTGTAGAGGCAGTGCACACCATGAGCCCCAAGAAGGGCATTGCCAAACTCCTTCCCTGAGACTATAGTCAGCATCTCAGCATCCGTGAGCAAGACGTGTCCCAAAGTATCAGAAAAGCCTAGGAGCGGTTATTTTCTGGATTTGGGAATGCTCCAAGATTTTTCCATATAAAGAAATGGTCACTGTTTCTTGGCTTGGTGCAACATTTAGACTTACGAAAGATTTCACAGGAATGCTCTACTTTCTGATAGCAGGGGAAACCTGTCATCACACAAGAATCTAAGGTTCCCTCCTTAACCCCACATCCTATTAATCACCAAGTGTTGTGGCTTCCACCTCTTAAATGGCTCTCCCCTCCACCACCCCTTCTTTATTCTCTTTAACTGCCATCATAGTTAAAGGCCAGCTTCTCTAAACCTCACTACTGCACAAGCCTTCTCACTGGTCTTTGTGCTTCCGGGTCCCATTTCATTTTAAGGCATCTTCCAAACCACTTCCATCAAGTGGGCTTTGTAACATGCAAATCGGATTGCATCGCTCCCCTCGAAATTCTTCAGTGGTGCCCCAACACCTATGCTGAGTTCATTTGTCTAAGCCATCTTTTTATCCGCCTCTGCCTCCCCCACCCACTCTGAAGCCCTGGCGGAACATGCAACTCTTCAACCCCCTGTTCATTTACGCATACTGTTAGCATTTGCCTAGCCGCCCTGGCCTTCTGCCCACATACAATTCAAATTGCTGCTCATTCCTTTAAGTGCCAATTCAAATGCTTTTCCCCAGACACGGTCTCCTGCAGCAGGGCTTACACCTTTTCTCAGCCTCCATCATCTCAGGAGGCAATAAAAATGGTCCAGAAAGAACACTGCTCCTTCTTGCCACTTCCCGTTCTTTTTTTCTGCAAATTTCAAGAACACTAGGACTTCATGTGATGGTCTCCACCACTCCTCCCCCTTGATCTCATTTGCAGGAGTTTCAAGACTTTTATTCATGAAACTTGCACCATTACCCTCACCCTTCTCCCACTACCATTCATTCATTCAACAAACATTTACTCAGCACATATTACACGCAAGGTAATATGTGAGATAAAGGCGAAGACAGTAGTCTCTGCCCTCAAAAAGCTTGCAGATTAGTGGGGAAGACAACCAAAAACCAGTGGGCACTGTGTGGTGACAGATGGTAGCTACACTTGTGAGCACAGCATAAGTACAGACGTGTGGAATCCCCTGAAACTCATGGAACACTGTGCGTCAGCCATGCTCCAATTAAAAAGACATCACCATCAAGTGTGAAAAAGCAATGCAATCACACAGGAAGGACGCTTGACTCAGCCTAAAGGAGTCAGACACACCAGACCTACCCTAAGCAGGAGACTGACCTCCTTCCTAATTCAGTGAGGAAACAGGCAGGACCTGGACTGCTCCACACCGAGGTTTGTCACAGAAACCTCCCTCCCTCCACGTGAACCTGTGAAGAGCCACTGCAACTCCTACGTCTGCTGTTCTCTGTCCTCAAGAGTCCATTCAGGGCCTCCTGGCAGGCATTTCAGTGATTCTTCTCCTGGACACCGACTTGTTGTTAGGATGTTTCTGTCTTACCAATCCCTTACCTTTCTCTCTTCTGCTCCAGGAGTGCAAAGCATAGCTGGAGGAAGTCACAAAACTGGTTCCTTTTCAAATGTACGCCAGTTCACTTCCCCTCAGTGCTCACATGGCAGCACCTGGCCTGTAAGGCCCTTCTTCGTCTTTTCTGCTGAGCTGTTACTCAGTCTTCAAAGACTGGTTCAAAAGTTACTTTCTCTAGGAGGCACTTTCGACAACTATCACTGCCTCCTCCAACCTCCCAAGGTGTTCCTTCCCATTTACCCTGCAAGGCCCAGCCAACAGCTGCGGCCCTTTGTTCACCCACTTCCCCTCTGCTGGAGAGCCTTGAAGGGGAACAATGGGATCTTTGTGTATCCCAGAACCTAACACAACCCTTCTAGTGGGTCATTCATTCGACATACCTTCTGAATGCCTTCCCTGTGCTAAGTAAGCGCTGGGTTGAATAACTGAATGAATGAATGTCTGACCTCCTACACCACCGTCCTCACTCATTTATTCTGTACCTATTCCACTCTCCTCCAGACTCCAAACCCATCCATCAGGCATCCTCCCTAGCCTGTCCTTTCTGAAGAGGACAATGCAGAAGATCATCCTGAAAGCCTATCT